CCAGGAACGGCTCCTGTGAGGCAGTGCCTCCGATCTCTCCCTTCCTTCTACACTGGGGCTCCTCAACCTTCCTAATGCTGCGACCCTTTAACACAGTTCCTCGTGGTGTGGCCATCCCCCAACCATCCAAGTATTTCATTGCTACTTCAGAACTGTAATTTTGCTACTGTTCTGAATCATAATGTAAATATCTGGTACGCAGGATATCTGAGATGGGGGTCGAGATCAGGTTGAGAACCACTGCCACACCCTCTGCTCCACTGAAGCTTTGCTAGGAGCCCCGTGACCCAACTGACCATGTGAAGCTCTTTGGACTGCAGTTGCCTGGAGGTTCTCCCTTCCCACCCCTCCCTTTATTCCAGATGAACAAACAGGTGGCCTCTGGATGGAAATTCCTAGTCACTGGAGTGGTGGAAAGTATTCAGCCTACCCCGCGTTCAAATCCTGACTCTCAGCTACTGACCTTTAGCAGAGTGCCCACCTCTCTGAGTTGTAGTTCTCTTGTCAGTTAACTGGGAGACCTGTGTAGATTCCAAAGCCTCTGCCAACAGTGTCGAGCACCCTAGAGACACACAGAGAGAGAAGACATCAGCTATGGGAAACAACTGAAAAGGGGTCCGCAGGGCTTCTGGAGAAACTATAGTATCATCGGCTAGGGTAGCTCAGGACGGATCGTGTGGCTGGAATATGTTATCTCAGCTTTAAAATGGGTTCATTTACCCAGCGGTGGTGGCACACGCCTTTAATCCCAGCCCTCAGGAGGCCGAGGCAGGTGGATCTCTGTGAGTTCAAAGCCAGCCTGGTCTACAGGAGTGACCAAAGCTACACAGAGAAATCCTGTCTCAAAAAGCTAAAATAAATACATAAAAATAAAAATGAGTTCATTTAAGGTTGGAACTACATAGCTCAGCTTATGTGAGGTTCTGAGTCTCATTCCCAGTACTATATAAACCTAGCATGATAGCACATGTGTGCAATGCTGAGAAGAGGAGTAGGATGATTAGACATTCGGAGTCATCCTTGACTGTTCCGTGAGTTCAAGGCCAGGCTAGGCTGCATGAGACCCTGTGTCAAAAGAAAGAAAGAACAGAAGTGTTCCTGTTCATTACAGGTCGTTTTCCACAGGCGCCAGAGGAATAGATGTTCCTCAAAAGGGACAGTGGGGACTTTGACATGTTTATTTACTTTTATTTGGTGCTGGGGTGGAACCCACGGTCTCCTGCATGAAGCACATGCTCCATCATAGAGATAACGCCTTCAGTATTTTTAGAGACTTTGGGGAGTTGCTCGTTTTGAAAAAGAGTCTTGTATAGCCAAGGCTAGCCTTGAACATCTGACCCTCCTGCCTCCACCTCCAAGTGTTGGAATTACAGATAGGCACACCTCTTTTTTTCCCTAATTTCTTCACACCTAGTTTTGTTTTGTGCTGTGGGACAATGGTCTATAACCTGTCACTTGTATTTTAGATAAATGCTGATTGGCCAGTAGCCAGGAAGGAAGTATAGCCTGAGTGACCAGCCAGGAAGTATATGCAGGGCAAGGAGAATTCTGAGAAGACAGAAGTTTCAGTCTGCAGTCCTCACCCAGACGGAGAGGAAGCAGGACACAGAGCAAGCAAGATGTGACTGCCTCATTGAAAAAGGTACCGAGCCACGTGGCTAGCACAGATAAGAATTATGGGCTAATATAAATTGTAAGAGTTAATAAGAAGCCTGAGATACTAGGCCAATCAGTTTATAATTAATGTAGACCTCTGTGTGATTTCTTTGGGACTTAACGACTGCGAGAACCAGGCAGGACAGAAACCTCAGTCAACAGTTTTGAGGTAGAGTCTCTCTCAGCAAAGACTGGCTTGGAACTCACCTTGTCAGCCGGCACTGGCTTGGAGTCAGGGAAACCTTGTTTCTCAGCCTCCTGAGTCCTGGCATTACAGTTGTGAGCTACCATGTCCAGATTTTAAAGCAGACTAGGTAAATGACTCAGGCAGTAAGAGTGCTTGCTTAGCATGCACAAGGACGTGGGTTCAACCCCCAGCACCAAGTAAGCAACACTCAACCAACCGAGCTGCAGCCGGTCTTGGAGCCTTATTCGCAATGGATAAGCTTTTCATGCAGTTACCCAAGGACCATCTCTTCTGCTTTAACTAGACTCAACTGCCACAAAGACAGGGACCGAGTCTGCTGGATTAACCATGGAATCCCTTGACTCTGGTACATGTTATCCACCGGGGACTGTGGCGATGGCTCAGCAGTTAAGGGCTCATACTGACTTTTCAGAAGACCTGAGTCCAGCTCCCAGCCCCCACACTGGATAGCTCCCGATCATGTATAATTCCAGCTCCAGGGTATCTAACACCTCTTCCCGCCTCTGAGGGCATCTGCACTTCTGTGCAAATACCCACACACAGACATATACTCACATAATTAAAAATTAAAACAACATCTAAAAAGAAAAGTAGTTACTGATTGCAAATGGAAACATTAGAAACAAATGGAAAAATAAACTAAAGGGCATCAAAATTTAAACTTCTCTTTTAAAATTATTATATTTATTTAGCGCTAGACATGGTGGCTCACACTTTTATTTTCAGCACTTGGAAGGTAGGGGTAGGTAGATATCAGTTCCAGGACAGCCAAGGCTACACAGACAAAGCCTGTCTCAAAAAAAGTTAATACTGGCTGGGCAGTGGTGGCAAATGCCTTTAATCCCAGCACTCAGGAGGCAGAGGCAGGAAGATCTCTGTGAGTTCGAGGCCAACCTGGTCTACAAGAGCTAGTTCCAGGACAGGCTCTAAAGCTACAGAGAAACCCTGTCTTGAAAAACCTCAAAAAAAATCCAATATATGTATGTAGTATGCATGTATGTATGTACATGTGTAATATATATCACATTTATTTGTTTAGTGTTGGTGCATGTATACATGCCATACTATGCACAACATTTAGAAGTTGGTTTTTTTCCTTCCATCGAATCCTGGGGACTTGAACTCAGGTTATCAAGCTTGGCAGCAAGCATCTTTACCAACTGAACCATCTCACCAGCTCCCAAATTTAAACCTTTAGAGAACAACAGAAAACTATCAAGAAAATGAAAAGAGGTCAGGCATGATAGCAAAATTCCTGTATTCCCAGCTGAGGCAGGAGGATCAATATGAGTTTTAGACCAGCCTGTCTCAAATAAAAGTGAGTTCTGGATGGATAGCTGAGTCAATAAACTGCTTGCTCCACAAGCAAAGAGGACCTGAGTTTGGAATCTCAGCATCTGGGTAAAAAGTCAGCATTAGTACTGTAGTCTGTAGTCCCTTGCTGGGGAAACAGAGAGAGGTGAATCTCGAGAGCCTGCTGGCCTGCCAATCTAGCTGAATCAGTCAGCTCTGATCTTGTCTCTAAATAAATCAATAAACAAACAAACATGGAGAGCAATTGAGGAAAACACCCGACATCATCGATCTCTGGCTCTATACAGTTGTGCACACAGACACACAGACACAAACACAAACACAGAGACACACACACAGTCTCATGGGATAAAACCCACAGAATGGGAGAAGGTGTTTGTAAACATGTATCTAATAAGTTATCTATCTGGCCCAAGCCAGTGGACTATGACAAGGGTAATCGCAAGTTCCAACCCAGCCTGAATTACATAGTTAGAGACCCTATCTCAAATTAAACGGTGGTATAGATCTGATATCGATCGCATATAAGCTCCTATAAGTTAACAACGCAAACACAACCACCTGATGCTGGAATGAAGAAAGGGCTGGACTACACATTTCTTTGTATGCTTTTGTTGTTGGTGGTGGTGGTTGGTTTATTTGTTTTGAGACAGGGTTTCTCTCTGTAGCTCTGGCTGTCCTGGAACTCACTTTGCAAACCAGGCTAGCCTCGAACTCAAAGATCCGCCTGCCTCTGTGCCCTAAGTGCTGGGATTAAAGGTGTGCACCACCACTTCCTGCCCTTGACTACACATTTCTACAAGAGAAGCATGTGAACGAAAAGCATGTAAAAAGGTGCTCATTATCACTAGGCCATGGAGAAATGGAAATCTAAACTACATTGAGAGGGCTGGGAATATAGCCCAATTTTGGAGAGCTTGTCTAGCATGTATAAAGCCCTGGGTTCCATGCCAGCCCTACATAAACTGGGCACTGTAATGCTTACCAATAATCCTAGTACTCAAGGGAGGAGACTACAGACTTAGTGAATGTTTGGTTCTGGAAAGATGTCTCAGTGATTAAGACCACTTATAGTTTTTTGCCGAGGACCTAAATTCAGTTCTCATTTCCCGTATTAGGCAGTTCACAAATCCCTGTAACTTCAGCTCCAGGGGATTGGCCTCTGCGGGCACCTGCACTCGTGTGTACATACCTACCTAAACACACACACACACACACACACCGATTTAAAATAAGATCAATCTTTTAAAAATAAAGGCAGAGACGCTGGAGAGATGGCTCAGTGGTTAAGAGCACCTTCTTTTCCAGAGGATCAAAGTTCAGGTCCCAAGACTCATGTCAGGTGGCCACAACACGACAGCCTGTCATTCCAGCTCTGAACAATCCTATGCCTCTGACCTCCAGGACATCTATTCTGGCCTGGACATACACAAAGACACACACTCATACACCTAATTAAGACTAAAATAAATGGGGCAGAGAGATAGCTCAGCAGTTCAGAGTACTGATTATTCTTCCAGAGGAACCAGGTTCGATTTCCAACACCCATATGATTACATGTTACATGTAAAACCTTATGTAACTCCAGTTCTAGGGAACTCAAGGGCCTCTTCTGGGCTCTGTTGGCACAGAATGCATTTGGTGCACAGACATACATGCTGGCAAAACACCTATATTCATAAAATAAAGTAAAATTAGATTAAATCTTTTAAAAATTAAATCTTTATTTAAAAATTAAATAAACAAAAATAAAAACAGAACAATGGAAGTGGGGGACTTAAAAACAGAACAGTGGGATTTGAAAGCAGAGACCAAACAAGCACAGAGTAACTGAATTTATTAAGAAAAACAGCAACCCAAATCTGCCCTTGTGCTCCCAGCACCGAGAACTGTACGTGTTCATCATGGGTCCCAATCTTGGTCAGTCTATTTCATAGTTGATAGTTTGCTGAAGGACAGGAAGAGACTTGTTTGTGGGAGGCATCTTTCCCCAGCGCCCCGTATCCGCTTCTCCTGCAGGTCTCCTGGCCTGTTTGGTTCCAGGCAGTGAATAGAAGCAGAGAGGAGAGGAGGCCTCAGAGAGAAAAAAGAGAAGTCGTCCCTGCAGACAGAAGAAGATTATGTCTAGAGGAATCATGGCCCTTGACATAAAGGTAAGGCGTCAGAAGGACTCAAGATTCCCTGTTGCTCAGCTCAGTAAGCTAAAGATGTTCAAAGCAGGGCCTGGGGCCTGACAAATGGATCCGTGTGTTCAGTATCACCTGCCAAAAAGACAGAGAAATCTGTCATGCATCCTAAAGAGTTCGTAGCCTGTGACTGGTGATGGGACTCAGTGGTAGAGGCCTTGACTAGCATTCATGAGGCTCTAGGTTCAACTGCCCCCCCACACACACACACAAAAGGAATTTTCTTTAAAATGTCTGGAGTGACTCACAAATTCTCATGTCCTCCTTGCTCAAGGGCCATGTCCATCTTCCCTGCATCATTCTAATTTTAGTGTATGTGCTGTAGAATAGGTGAATTCACAAAAATAATTTAAAAAGTAAAAATTTTGGTTCAAAACAATAATCCAGAAAGCCTACCTTAATGGGCCCTGGTCAATGAGGAGTCCTGGATATAGATTCTTCCTTAAAGATAGGCAGGTCCTTTTGGTATGTGAATTCTCCTGCGCTCTAGGGCCCAGATGGTCAACAAACACCAATGGTATTGGTGAGTTGTTCCATCATGACCTCATTCTATGTAAGGAAGAGTGTCTGTGGTGACCTGAGGGACTGATTTAATCAATGGGGTTGCTTTAAGAGCAGAGTGGAAGTGTCTCTGACGAAAGAATTTTCATCTGTAGACGACAGCCCTAGCCAAGGGCAGCCTATGCCTGGGAGGCTCAGTCTGCCTTTTTTTAAAGGCCTGTCCTAAAGACTTACCCTATGACTTGGTAGAGCCAGGAACTGCCAAAGCCAGTACCTAGTAGTAAATCTCTTCCTGTTTCTCACCGATGAGTTCTGCTTCTCTGGTTGAATTCTAACTTATTAAATACGAGAAAGAAGGGCTGGAGAGCTAGCTGGTTCAGTGGTTAAGAGCACTGACTGCTCTTGCAGAGGACCTGAGTTCAGTTCCTAGCAGCCACAGAGTTGCTCACAACCATCTGTTAACTCCAGTTCCAGGAGATCCAATGTCCTCTTCTGGCTTCTGAGAGCACCAGGCATGCACATGGTGCACATATATACATGCAGACAAAACTCATACATATAAAATAAGTATTGAAAAGAAAAATGTGAGCTATGCTGGGACCTGTAGTCTCCACCAGAGGCTGAGGCAGGAGGATGGTAAAAATATTTTACCATCAGCCTCTGGTGAGGATCTAGTCCAGATGGGCCATGCATCAAGACTACATCTGAAACACACATGTAAACATGATACACTCCAGCACTGCAGCTTGGTGATCAAATTTAAATGTGTTCAGGTCACAAGGCCCTGGTTTTGAATTTCCAGTGAAACACACACACACACACACACACACACACACACACACACACAGAGTTCTTTGAATGGAACATACCTGGCAGCCGGGTCATGACTTCTACAACCATTTTCCAATAAAAAGATCCATAATGGATTATAACATAATGAATGCATGAAATAAACATCAAAAGTTTCCAACTGATATGAAGAAGTTACTATTTTGCTGTTTTGTTTCTTGGAGGCAGGATCTCCCGGAGTTCAGTCTGAGACTAGCCTTGGACTTCTGATCTTCCTGCCTCCATATCCCAAGTGATAGAAAAAATTAATGAATAATTAATTAATGAATTAAAAATAAAAAGTAATTGGGGAAGAAGAGACAAACTTTATATGCAGGAAACCCCCAAAGAATGTGTGCAGATACTTCTTCAAAAAGATTGTACTCCCTACCTCTTTTCTGGTCGTCCCTACCCCATGTCTGTGCATGTGTTTGTGTCTGTCTGTCTGTCTGTCTCTTTGTCTCTGTTTCTGTATGTGTGTCTCTGACTCTGTCTCTGTGTCTGTCTCTCTGAACAGAGGCTAACTAAGTAGCCCTTACTGGCTTCAAAGTCTCTATCCTCCTGCCTCAGCCTTCCTAGTGCTAGGGTTCCAGACATTCACCATCACACCCTGTCCTACTCCTTAAATGAAAGTCGCACCTAACGCGCTAGTTTTCCAGAGTACAAGCAGAAAGGAGAAGGGACTCAACACTGGAGAAACCCGACACCCCGCCTCGGCCAGGTGCTCTAGGTCAAGGTTGACAGGGATACATCATGTGGATGGTATGTTCCCGAGACAGAGCACAAGAAAAATGGCTCTTTCCCTCTGCGATCGTTCTTTCCGAAATGCGCAAGCCCAGCCTAATTGCAAGGAAAATAGCAAAGGAATCCCAAGAGACGAGCATCCTACAGATGCTTGACCAGTAATTTTCCAGGTCAGCAAAGACAAGGGAAGTGGGGGCCTCTCACAACAAAGAGGACTCTAAGGCCATGTTATGGCTGACTAAATCATGACCTCATGTATGGGATCCTGAAATACCAAAGTGAAAAACTGTTTAATGCAAAACGATTGTGGAGAGGTTCACATCTGCAGTTCAGCGCTTAAGACGAGGTAGGCAGACTAGGCAGGCAGACTACTTCAAGTCTGAGGCCAGCCTGGACTACATGATGAGTTCTAGGCCAGCCTGAGGTACACTGTAAAACCTCATTAAAAAAAAAACTGCGGAGAGGTGGTGGTGAATGCCTTTAATCCCAGCACTCAAGAGGCAGAGGCAGGGCAGGGGGATCTCTGTGAGTTCAAGTCCAGTCTGGTCTACATAGTGTTCCAGGATACACAAGAAACCCTGTCTCTAAATAAATAGATAAATACCAGGAAAATGGAATAAACCATGACTTTCTCTGTGGAATCTTCTCAGTTTTTAAAATAAATCTGTTCTAAACATAAGGACTGAAGAGATGTCTTCTTGGGGTTCTGAGTTCAGGTTCTAGCACTCACTACTAGTAGCTCACAACTATCTGCAAGTCCAGCTCCAGGACATCCAATGAGTCTGGACTCTGAGGGTACCTGCATTCATGTACATATACCCAAATTGTGTGCATATGCACGTATGTGTGTGCACGTACACATGTACACACCTACACATACTTAAAAATAATAAAAATAAAAAATAAAAATCGTTCTTAAAATAGCATCTATTTAAAAAATCAGGAAAAGGTTATACAAACAAGTTTCAATATTACACTTCAGAATGAGGAGCTATTCTGCTGATCTTGTTTTTACTTTAATTAAGATACAAATCTGGTGGTTCAAATGAGCAGTAGTTGTTTGAACTTCTGTTGGTCACAACTGTCTTGACTTTTAGCCAATGCTACAAAAAGAAAAGGAAAAAGAAAAAAAAGAAAGGAAAGGAAAGGGAAAGGGAAAGGGAAAAGTAGAAACCACCTGAAAGAAATTGTTCCGCTTGTCTGCCTGGCCTCCTTTATGCTAACAGTTGTTAGTAACTTATCACTTTGCTTGGTACATAATCAACTCATGCGCAGCCATCTATGCGGGATGGCCAAGTACCTGGCTCAACATGCCCAGCATGTGCCTTATTGCCTCTTAGCAGCAGAACAGGTTTATGAGGCAGACCTTCAAAATATCACTGTTCCATGGTGGAGGACGCTAAGACTCCAGAAAGGAGTCAGAGGACCAAGTTTTAACCAGTTCTGGCTCCTAGGCTATCCTCCCCAGGACCCCAAACCCATCTCCAACATCTGAGCTGTGCCCTCCCATCCCTAGGACCCAGGAGCCACTGACTTCCTGTGTGTCTTCCTACTTCTCCTTCCCAAGCCATTATGCAAATGAGTTCTATGTTAAAATAATCCCCCTTCTTCAAGTCTACAGCCTGTCTAAGAGACCGTCTCTCGGGTGCCTTGCAATCATATCTAACTTGGCATACAAACACTGACCTCCCAGCCTGCACTCCAAGAGCTCTAGTTGTCTACCTCTTAGTGCACAGCACAAACCTCTAGCCTGTTGTGCAAGACAGATCCCTGAGCTATGTCGCGGTCACCTCCCTTCTCCTCATCCCTGCTGTCAGTCACACGGTTTTGTTGTTGAGCTGACTAAATCTCCCCGTCTGTCCATCTCATCCCTCTCCACTACCTCTGCCCCAATTCTGTCACCAGTATGCCTCCTCGTCTGAACCGCAGCCTCCGGTGACTCACGGCTCCACACCTCCCCGCCACAGCCCCAATCACGCCGTTCGCAGCGGTCCACACACTCCCCTTCACTCTTTCCTTTTGGCCCCTTTCTCCTACATTACTTCAATTTTTGTTTGTAATCAACCATGGTAGCTAATACTTGTAATCACAACACTCTGGAGGTAGAGGCAGGAAGACTGTCCCAAGTCGCAGGCCAGCCTGGAGGGGCGTTATCTCAAAACACACACACCGTGAACACACAGGAAATGTGACCAAGAACACAAGACCTGTACAGGTTCAAACCAAACAAAATCTCAGCACTGAGAAGGGGAAGTGGACACAAGACCCCACCCCTAACCGAGGAGCTACACGCAATAGATACCTGCTGGGGAAGGGAAACCAGTTGTCTTCAGAGGAGTGACGCTGGACATGCCATTCACACTCTAGGGCAGGCCTCTACATTCAGGCCCAGGAGTATTTGACCAACACAGAGCAAACTCAGTCTCTTTTTGCGAGCTTTTCATTTTGTTTTGCTGTCGTTTGATGGATTCATTGTTTGTTGTTTGTTTTGATTTTCATTTCTTTTTGCTTTTGAATGAAAGACAGAAAAAGGACATGAAGTTGGATTAGGTTGGATCTAGAAGGAGTTGGGGGAGGGGAAAGAATAAGACCAAAATATATTGTATGAAATAAATAAATACACAAAGTAAAATAGTGTTAGAAAGGAAGGGAGGGAGGGAGGGAGAGAGGGAGAAAGGAAGGAAGGAAGGAAGGAAGGAAGGAAGGAAGGAAGGAAGGAAG